AAGCACTGAAGAAAGAAATTGAGGAGGATACAAACAAATGAAAACACACCCATACTCACAGACAGAAAGAATGAATATTGTTAAAATTACTATATTACCAGAAGCAATCTACAGTTTCAATGATATTCCTATCAAAACACCAATGATATTCTTCACAGAGACAGAAAAAAAAATCCTAAAATTCATATGAAACAACAAAAAATGCCAAATCGATAAAGCAATCCTGAGCACAAGGAATAAGGCTGGAGTCAATGTATTACCTAACTTCAAATATACTACAAAGCTGTAGTAACCAAAACAGCATGGTACTGGCATAAGAACAGATATGTAGATCAATAGAACAGAATAGAGAACCCAGAAATTAATCTGCTTATCAACAGCAAACTGATTTTTACAAAGGCCAAGAACACTCATTAGGGAAATGGCAATTTCTTCAAAAAATGGTGCTGAGAAAACTGGATATGCAGAAGAATTAAACTAGATTCCCATCTCTCATCCTACACAAAAATCAATTCATAATGGATCCAAGACCTCAGTGTTATAAAACTACTAGAAGAAAATATAGGGGTAATACTTCAGGACACTAGTCTAGGAAAATATCCTATGAGTAAGAACTCCAAATCACAGACAACATAAAAAATAGACAAATCCGATGACATCAAACTCAAAAGCTTCTGCATAGCAAGGGAAACAATCAATAGAGTGAAAAGACAACCTACAGAATACATGACAATATCTGCAAACTATTCATCTGATAGGGATTCATATCCAGATTACACAAGGAATTCCAGTATCTCAAGAGCAAAAAACTGATTTGCTTAAAAAACAGGCAAATTATCTGAACAGACATTTCTGAAAAGACATACATATAGCCAACAAATACATGAAGAAATGCTTAACATTATTAATTATCAGGGAAATGCAAATAGAAACCACAGTGAGGTATCATCTCACCCCAGTTAGGATGCCTATTTTCAGAAAAACAAAAAATAATAAATGCTGGTGAGGATGCAAAAAAAAGGGAACTTTTATACACCATTGGTGGGAATGTAAACTCCTATAGCCAATATTGAAAATAGTACAAAGGTTCCCCCAAAAACACTACAATTAGAACTACCATATGGTCCAGCAATCACACTACTGAGAATTTATATAAAGGAAAGGAAATCATTAGATCAGAGAGACATCTGCACCCTGTATTTATTGTTGTACTATTCACAATAGCCATGATATGGATCAACCTAGTTGTCCAACAACAGATGAATGGATAAAGAATATGTGTATACACACACAATGGAATACTGTTCAGCCATTAAAAAAAGAAATGAAATCCTGTCATTCACAGCAACATGGATGGAACTGGAAGAAGTTATATTAAATGAAATAAGACAGGAAAAGAAAGTTAAATACCATGCGTTTTCATTCATCTATGGAAGCCAGGGAAAGTAAATACTATAGAAGTCAAAAGTAGAAGAGAAGATAGGGTAGGAAGGGTAGGAGGAAAGGAGGGATAGGGGAGAGATTCAATCACGAATACAAAATTACAGCAAGATAGGAGGAGTAAGTTACAGTGTTGTACTATCATTGTTCTGTAACTATAGGATGACTATAATTAACAATAATATAATTAACAATAGCTAGAAGGATACTGGATGTTCCCCACACAAACAAATCATTAATGTTTGAGATGACTGATATGCTAATTACTCTGATTACTCACTATACATTCTATGTATCAAAACATCACTATATATCCCATCAAAGTGTATGATCAATTTAAAAATAAACTATAAAAATGTTAATTACTATTTAAAATGACTATTTTATGAAATAAATGTTTTGAGCTATTTAAGCCAGACTTAGACAAGAAGGAAAGATTCTTAGAAAACTGAAATGCAATATCAGATTAGAAGAAGCAAAAGACAGCACTGGCAGTAAAGAAAATCACATTGGCCATATGATAGAATGCTGAGAGGAGGGAAAAAAACATGAAAAAGATGGTAGACACAGAAAAATGAAAACAAAGATTTAAGAATTGAATATTCTAATATTGGATATTCATTGTTTTTCTAATCCTAAGAAAAAATGAAAGAGAATATTCAAAAATAAAAGAATATTATTCTTTAGTGAACAATACCCTCTAAATTTATACTAAAACAGTATGCAGAATATTAGTGAATTTTATGATCAACTGTTAGACATAGTCAATGAATAACTAATGCAATAAGAGAAGAAAAGGAATAAAAGGTATGGAGATAGGGAAGGAATAATTAAAACTGTCTTTGCTGACAGATAACATAACTGTCTGAGTAAAAAATCTCAAAGAATTGACAAAAAAACTAATGGAATTGAGAAGCGATTATAGCAAGGTTGCAGAAAACAAGGTAATATACAAAAGCCAACTGTTTAGCTATCTACCAGCAATGAAGACTTAGAAAAGGAAATTAAAAACACAGCACTCTTCACACTAGCACCAAAAAAAATGAAAAATTAGGTATAAATCTAACAAAACATGTATAATATCTTTATTAAGAAAACTACAAAAACTGACAAAATTCCTAAATACATAGATACTCCATGAATGGGAAGACTTTCCTAATGTGATGTATAAAGTCAACACAAAATCCCAGCAATTCAATACAAAGATTCCCAGAATTTTGTGGGTATGTACAAAGTGATTCTAAAGTTAATATGAAAAGGCAAAGTATGCAGACAGCCAACATAATACTGCAGAAGAACAAGGTCAGACAACTGACAGTACTTACCTTAAAGACTCACTAAAAGTCTACAGTAATCAAAACAATGTGATATTGGCAAAAGAACAGACAAAGCAAGGGAACAGAAAGAGAACCTAAAAATACACCCACATAAACATAGTAGCTGATCTTTGACAAAGAAGCAAAGGCAATTCAACGGATAAAAGACAGTCTTTCTCCAATTCGGCATTCATTTCCAAAAAATAATAATAATAATAATCTAAACACAGACCTTACACCTTTCACAAAAATTAACTCAAAATGAATCACAGACCTAGATATAAAATGCACAACTATAAAGCTTGTAGAAGATACATAGGAAAAAATCTAGATGACCTTCGGTTTGGTGATGAAGCTTCAGACATAACACCAAAATCGTAACTCATGATAGAAAAAACTGACAAATTAGATTACTAAGATCAAAGACTTCAGTTGGGCACAGTGGCTCCTGTCTGTAATCCCAGCACTTTGGAAAGCTGAGGCAGGATTGCTTGAGCTCAGGAGTTCAGGACCAGCCTGGGAAACATAGGGAGAGCTTGTCTCTAAACAAAATTAAAAAACACATCAGGTGTGATGGTGCATGCTTGTAGCCCCAGGTACTCAGGAGGCTGAGATGGTACCCAAGAGGCCGAGGCTACAGTGAGCTGTGATCATGCCACTGCACTATCTTCTAAGTAAATAAGTAAAACAAATAAATAAAAACTACTCTACCAAACATACTGTTAAAAGTATGTTTGACATAGCAAATAGTATGTTTTGTATGTATACATAGCAAAATAGTATGTTTGACAAGCAATAGTATGCTTGACTTTGACATAGCAATAGTATGAAAGACATAGCAAGATCCTGTCTCAAAAATAAAAATAAAATCTTCTGCTCTGCCAAAGACAATGTTAATATTAATAGTATGAAAAGAAAAGCCACAAACTGTAAGAAAATACTTGCAAAACAAAACTGAAAATCAGAAATATAAAGGACTCTTAAAACCTATCAATAAGAAAACAACCCAAATTAAAAATGGACATAAGACACCTCACCAAACATATACAGATGAAAAAGAAGTGTATGAAAAGATGCTCAACAGCATGTCATTTAGAGAATTACAAGTACAATGAGACACCAATCTACACCTATTAGAATGGTTAAAAAGTTTCTTAAATTTAAAAATTTGAAATTTAAAAACATTTCACATAGTTCTCTTGTGAAAACCACCCAAAATAATAGTGAATTCAAATGCAAAGAAAAACCATAATAAAAAACTCAAGAATAAAGAAATAGTGATTTATAGAAGCTGAGTATGAGGACTAAAACAAATTAAACATAGATTTGAAACCTAAAACTTACTGTAAATATGATTATAAATGTGAAAATTTGTGAACTATTAAAAGAAATTACCTAGATCTAAATTCTCAATTTACATACTTTAAACAATACTTGAGATGAGTGATAACAGTAAAATCCTAACATATTCATCATAATAAATTTCAATATATATTGCTTAAAATGTTAAAAAAATTTTACTTATCCATTTTTTAAAGTACATTAGTAAAAAATTTAAATTTATTGTATATAATACATGAGAACAGATTTTACACAGACTACTTAGCATTGAAATTAATTACTTTCAAAAGTTAACACCCATAATTTGTCTCCTATATTGCATAAAGGATATGAAAGAAAAGAGCAAGGGGAAATAAGTAAGAATATCTTTTTGAGGTAACTAAGGAAATACAATAAAGAGGAAAAGGAGACAAGAATGATATAAGATGTGAACATGCATCTTATGTAAAACTACGTAAATTAGGGTTAAACAATAAATAGTAATAATGTAGGAAAAATAAAAAGAATGCATATGATATGATAGTTCTCTAACCTATAACAAAGGGAAAAACCCTACCTTGCAGCATTGATGTAAAGAATAAGTGAGAGAACATAATAAAAAGACACATAGTACATGCTCAATAAATGCTATTTTCTTTTTCCACTGGAAATCTCTACTTCTTCAAGGACAAAAGACCATGTTGGAACAAACATCAAGTGACAATTTGTCACTAGGAGGACAAATAAGGGGAAAAAAGGTCTGCTACACTCAAATATACCACCCTAACTTTATAAAGTTTTACATATCTTCTATGATTAAAAAAAGTAAAATGTTACAAAATAATGAAATGAAAAATATTTTCAGTATTATATAAAATAAGAATCATCATACGCCAACAAACACCAGAAATGAACAGCTTTTACCATAGTTTTTCCTGATCCTCGGGGTCCGATAATGAGGACAGAGTTACTCTCTCCATGGAGAGCGGTCCTTTTTAGCAGCTCACTTATGTGTCTAAAATGATATAAATAGGACAAAATTTTAAAAATGAAGCTGGAATACTTTGTTAGGTTGTAGTTTTTTAAAAGGCATATTTGAATATGCATAGAAATTTCCTCTCTTCTCTCCCTCTGGGCACTTGGCCTAGCCTCTGAATGGTCCTAAACAGAAAAATACAAAAGAAATAGGAGGGTAGTATAGACTCTGAAATCTTCAGGTGAAAATGTATCAGATTGGAATATATTGATTTGTATGATCGTGGGGACAACAGTGGCAACTCTCAGGACTCTTGGATTCAAATCTCTTTTCCTACTAATACTCTGAAATTTCACTCCATAGTTGGCTGCTGGGTATTAAGGGCAAGATGGTTAGAATTCTCTCCACAGTATTAGATAACATAAACAAAACAAGATTGAATGTTAAAGTGCTATTGCATTATGGAAATATTTGTATCTGCTCCTGCTTCACGCTATGTGGTGTTTCTATTCACAAAGCAAAATTTTTTACTTCTATAAAAGTGTTTGTTAGGTTTATTTAATATCAAACTTGTTACATAATTTTTGCAAGACCTGGAAGGCATCTGTAAGTTGGTCCGTAACAGTCAAAAGGACAGCTAGACTTACTTGTATTGTACTTGCACTCCAAATAGGTTACTATGTGGACTCTGATGACAAAATCTTTCACGTAAAATTCTTTGTACCTGATGAAAATAAAGTGAATAAATATAAAAATATTACACATGCATGGTGCGAAAAAAAAAAATATTACACATGCAATAAAAAATGAGTAAGAAAGCACATTTACAATAGCCAGAATTAGTTATTAATGAATCAATTCAACCCTCCCTAAATTCTTATCCTCTAGAGTTATGGCACCATAAGTTAAAAAATTAATGGTGTTCTTATCTATCTCAAGTCCCACAGGAAGAATGAGAATTTAGTTGTGAAGGTTTCAAAAAAGGGAGAATCACTGACTTTAGTTATGTTAGCAACTCAAGGGCTGTTTCAATGCATGTGAATGAGTTCAGAAAAAAATTCTTATAAGGAGCTGTATTTTGAGTTCACCTTAGAAAAAGGGCCTTAGACTTAGTCATGAAAAATTATGTCAGATAATCTACCATACTCTTTAAAAAGATGGACCATTAAAGTCATTCCTTTTTGGATCTGCAGCTAATACAGAGGTCTTTCAAGGACAACCTTAGGGTGCTATCTCAGATTTGGCCCCATGAACTGGAATAAAAAACCTCCAAAAATATTTGCTTCTCCTAGACTGATGGCATGGAACTAATCCTTCATGTATCAAAGAAATAAATCTGAGTTCTTGTTCCATGTACAGAGGCTAAGCAAAGAAAATGATTCACTAGGGACAAAATGATACATACTTGTTCATTATAGAGGAAGTTAAAGAGTAAGGACACTGGTACCAGAAGAGGCTACTATATGAATTTTAAAAGGTTAAGTCTGTTCTAAATTTTAATTTCTTTATCTATAAAATAGGGACAATAACACCTTGTTGCAGGCCTGTTTTAAAGATTAAAAAAGTGGGGTGGCCGCGGTGGCTCACATCTGTAAATCCCAACACTTTGGGAGGTCGAGATGGGTGGATCGCTTGAGGTTAGGAGTTCAAGACCAGCCTGGCCAACATGGTTGAAATACCTTCTCTACTAAATATTCAAAAATTAGCCAGACGTGGCAGATGCCTGTAATACCAGCTACTTGGGAGGCTGAGGCAGGAGAATTGCTTGAACTCAGGAGGCGGAGGTTGCAGTAAGCTGAGATTGTACCACTGCACTCCAGCTAGGGCAACAGAGCAAGACTTGGTCTCAAAAAAAAAAAAAAAAAAATTTAAAAAGGCAAAAGGCAATTATCTGTAACACAAATAGGCTTTGTACAGGTAATAGCTAATATCTATAAAAATACATAAAAGAACATATATATGTACTCAACTAGTGTATTCCTCTACCTAGATGAGATCAAAAGAAAAAACTCAATCCCTTCCTTAAAAACAAAACAAAACAAAACAAAAAACCAAAACTTCATTAAAATCTCTTAGAGGCAGTAATGGGGTGTAAAACATAAGCTAGATAAAGCTGCAGTGACTAGTTAGAAGGTTCACAAATCCCAAAGTGATCTGGCATGGAAGTTAAACAGGTATATACATGTATTGAAATTAATTCAGCTGTACATGGAGGATTCGTGCACTTTACATACAAAGGTACGTAAAGCATATTTCAGTTAAATTTTTTTTTTTTAGAAATAGAGTTAAACAACTTCCTTCAAAAAGAAAGCCAAGTCTTATGAAGGAATACCAGTAACATTTAATTTTTATTTAAAAACTACATGTAGTTCAGGTCAAGCTAGATACATACAAACGTAGAAATACCATGCTCATTTCCCTACTAGACTATAAGCTTCTTAAGGAAGAGATATACAGATAGATGTTCAGCACTTGGAATACAGTATGCACTTCTGATAACATTCATTATAAAAACACTCGATAGACGAGGAACATTAACGGAACTTCCTCAACTTAATAAAGGGCATCTAAAAAAAAATCCTACAGCTAACATCATATATAATAATGAAAGACTGAATGCTGTCTCTCTAAGATGAAAACAAAGACAAGAATGTCCATTATTTCCATTCCTATTCAGCATTTGTTCAAGCCAGGGCAATTAAGCAAGAAAAGGGGAGAAAAAAAAGGTATCTAGATTAGAAAGAAAAAGGAAAAGCTAGAATTCTGACTACCCGGACTTAATAAGGATAAAATTAAATTATAGTATAAAACACTAATATTAAAAAAATATATGAACTGACAAAAAGGATAGAGAACAATCATAACAACAAGAAAATCTGTTGGTCCACATTTAATTTTTACAGAGTCTGGAAAATTTTGCTTCCAGATGATTGTTCTTACGACCTTGTACTGATATCTCAAGGTCTTGTACTGACATCTCCTTAAGGTTAGAAAGAGTGATTCTTCTTATACACTAAAGTGAAAATTCAAGTTAAGAAGATAACTATTTCTCTCAACACTTTTATAGGGTAAAAGGTCTTGAGGTTAATGAAAATACATACTAACCTGTGAAAGGCACTCTGCGTGAATTAAGCTGTTACTCTTTGATTTACGACTGCTCATTTCAACAAATTCAAATCCTTAAAAAAATTGGCATAAATATTATAAACATAGTGACTTGAAGAGATAATACCTAAGAATATACTGTTCTAGAATTAAATACAAGTTTTTAAAAGTAAAAAATGCTCAAACCCTAAGACCTTCAAAATCTTCGATGGCTTCATTTTGTCCAAGTACAGGATTATTCAACACTCTCATACCATACTTTAGGTACACTTGGTTTTATTGTGCTTTGCAGACAGTGCATTTTTTTAAGTAAACTGAAGGTTTAGAACAACTCTGTGTCCAACAAGTCGATAGGTACCATTTTTCAAACACCATGTCCCCATTTTGTGTCTGTCAGCATTTTTCAGCAATAAGGTATTTTAAAATTAAGGTATGTACATTTTTTAGACATAATACTACTGCACACTTAATGGACTAGTATACTGTAAATATACATTTTATATGTACTGAGAAAAGTTTTGGGTGATTTACTTTATTGTGATATTTGCTTCACCGCAATGGTCTGGAACTGAACCTGTAATAATACCTCCAGGCCTGTATGTGGTTCTTAACAGCTACTCCTCCGTTTCCATTAAATCTTCTATTCACCTTCCCTTTCTTCCTTTTTCTTTAACTTATATGCTTCCTTTATGATTCTCCCACCCATCCATCCCACAGGATCATCCCTCATAGAAAACCTTCCTTTCTTGCTCCACTCACCAACCATACACAAATAATCATCACAGACTAGGTTAAATGCCTCTTCTTTAATTACTTATAAGTGCTTGTATTTCTCTTTATTATTTAATTATTTTGAACAAAATTATCTGTTTATTTGCTAGTGTTTCCAAATTGAGATTTTTTTATATTCCAAGCATTGTAGCATAATGCTCAAAACAAAGTTGGCAATGAATAAATGGAATGAAAAAAAATTAATGAAAAATGTATAATTCTTGTAAAATTCTCCTCAAGTTACCATACTCATAGACAAATACCTTTGACTAAAAGACCTAATTTTCTTAGCACTGATTTCCTATAGGACTACTTTAACAGTTAGACAGTAACAGCTTAAGCAGTGTTTACTTAGGTATCAGGAATTGTTACAAATAATTTGCATTTATCAACTCATTTAATCCTCAAAACTACCCTATGGGATAACTACTATTATAATCCTCTTTCAAGGTTAGAAGACACAGATAGGCTAACTATGTTGACCAAAATCAAACAGTATGTAAATGGAAGAGCCAGGATTTGGATCCAACCAAGTTAACAGCTTTTTTAAAAAACTGTATTCTGGTCTCATCTAGTCTCCAGAAGGAACACAGCTTTGCTGACACCCTGAATTTTGCCCAGTGAAAGACATTTTGGAACTTTTTTACTGCCAGAACTCATAAAACTCAAGAAAAGCTGACCTATCATCAAATCACCAATGATTAACATTATAATAATGTGAGAATGACGGCAGCAAGATGAAATAGGAGGCCCTTCAGCTTGTGTTCCCAAATAGCAACAATAATTTCACAGCCACCCACGGACAAAAGTGTCTTTGTGTTAGCCTTGAGATGCAGGCAGGCGTCTGTGAAACCCCAGTGGGGCCCAAGACCTGGGAAAGTCAATTTGATGGCAGATCTTCATTCCCCAACTGTGGTCCAGGCTTCAGACTTGGAAAGGGCCCTGTCCTCCTGAGGGCTTAGCTAAAGCCTGATAGGACCTTGTTACCAGGGGCTGTAGCAGGATATGAAACCTATCTGGTGGTGGACTGGACTTTTTCTAGGACATTGGTCTGTACAGGGGATGAAGATATGCAGAGAAAAGACCTGTTACCAGGTGTGTGGATGGTGTGGCTTTCTCTGGGAACCTGGGAGGGCTCCTACTGGATCACTGAGTGGATAACCTGAGCAGGCACTACTGCCATAGTCCCCAGCTGCGTGGGGCTGGAACTAAGTCACAGGGTTGCTTCAGGGCCTACAGTCAAGACTTAGGTCTTCAGGCCTGTCTAAGGTGTCATGAACCTGCATGCCTCCCTTCAGGTCCTTAGGTTGGTGGGCCTGCTCTCAAGCTGTACTGAGAGGGGCTGGAGCTACTTTTAAGGGGTGTTTCAGGGACTGATGAGGGACCTGGGTCAGATGGCCTGTTGGCAGGGCTATGGACAGCCCCATCTCCCTCCAGGATGCTGGGTAGGCAGAACCGCTTTCTGACCATAGCTGAGTGGGGCTTATGCCAAGATTCAGGGTTGTTTCAGGACCTGCTGTGGGACTGAAATCTGCCTGCCTGTCCTGAGGACATGGAAGGATGTATCTCCTGACTACAGGAGAATTTCTGTGCAGGATTTCTGTAAGACTGTGGCTAAGATGTGCTGGATTCCCAATTCAGAGCTTTTTCAGCATATGCTACGGGACAGAGACTGGTAAGTCTGTACTGATAGCACAGACAGGTGAGTCTCCTAGCAGTTCCTTGTGCAGGCAGGGTTGCTCTCAGGCTGCAACCAAGAGTAGCAGGAGCTGAGCTTCAGGGCTGTTTCAGGATATAATGTAGGACCAAGTTCAGAAAGCTTGACCCAGGGATTCAGACCGTTTTGTCTTCTTGCGGGTCCTTGAACTGATCTCAGACCACAGACAAGTTAAAGTGTCTTATCAGGGTCCACAGTTGAGACTGAGGACAGTGGACTTATTTTCTGAGGTACCAGTGTGCATGACCTTTCCTGGGCCTCTTGGTGAATAGTTTCGGTAGCAGGCTAATATCCTTGATGAATATAGGTACAAAAATCCTCAACAAATACTGGCAAATCTAACTCAACAGCACATTAGATCAATTACCATGATCAAGTGGTATTTATCTTTGGGATGCAAAGATGGTTCAACATATGTAAATCTATAAAGTGTGCTATAATGTATTAACAGAATGAAGGACAAAAATCATATGACTGACTCAACAGATAAAGAAAAAGCTTCTAACAGAACTCAATATTCCTTCAGGATGAAAACTCTCAATACATTAGGTATAAAAGGAATATACTTCAACACAATAAAGGCCATATATAACAAACTCACAGCTAACATTGCACCCAAAGGTAAAAAGTTGGAAGCTTTTCCTCTAAGATCAAGAACAGGACAAGAATGCCCACCTTGGCTATTTATATTCAATACAGTTCTGCAAATCCTAGCCAAAGGAATTAGATAAGAAAATTAAATAAAAGGCAACCAAGTCAAAAAAGAGAAAGTTAAATGATCTGTTTGCAGATGACATGATTTTATATAGAGAAAACCCTTAAGACTCTACCAAAAAACTGTTAGTACTAATACATACAGTAAAGTGGCAGGATACAAAATCAACATACAAAAATCAATAAGATTTTTCCACACTAATAACTATTTGAAAAAATTAAAAACCAGTCCTAATTACAATAGCATCAAAAACAAATTAGAAAGAAATGTAACAAAAGAGGTGAAAGGTCTGTCATTGAAAACTATACAATATTGATGAAAGAAAGTGAAGACACAAATAAATGGAAAGACACTCCATGCTCACGGATTGAAAGAATCAATGTTATTAAAATGTCCCTACTACTGGAAGTGAAGGTCAAAGTAATCTACATCAAAATTCTAATGACATTTTTCAAAGAAATAGAAAAAAACCTTAAAATTCATATGGACCCACAAAGACATTTAACAGCTAAGACAATCATGAGCAAAAGAACAACGCTGGAGGTATCAGACTACCTGATTTCAATACCTAGTGCAAAATAAAGATAATTCAAAACAACATGGTTCTGGCATAAAAACAAACATACACACCACCAGAATAGAGAGTCGAGAAATAAATCCATACTTTTATAGTCGACTTATGTTCAACAAAAGTGCCAAGAACACACCATGGAGAAAGGACAGTCTCTTCAAGAAATGGTGTTAGGAAAACTGGATATCCACAGGCAGAATAATGAAATTGAACCCTCATCTCACATCATATACAAAAATCAACTAAAAACGGATTAAAGACAAATGTAAGACCTGAAACACAGGGAAATAAAACACAGGGGAAAAGCTTTTTGACACTGGACTTGGCAAAGATTTTTTTGGATATGACTCCAAAAGCACAAGCAAGAATAATGAAAACAGACATAAAACTAAAAAGCTCCTACAAAGCAATCAATCAACAGAATGAAGAGACAACCTACAGAATAGGTGAAAATATTCGCAAATGTTACATCTGACAACAGGTTAAAATCCAAAATATTATTTGGTCCTCATCAGCAGATTCAACCAACTTAAGAGAGAGAAAATTTAGAGGGGGAAAAATGCAACAATAAAAATTAATACAAATTTAAAAAACAATACATTATAATGACTATTTACAAAGCACTTACATTGTATTAGAAGTTATAAGTAATCTAGAGATGATTTAAAGCATATGGGATGGTATGTGTAGGTTATATGTAAATACCATGTCAATTTATAGAAGAAACTTGAGCATCTACAGATTTTGGTATCTGAGGGGGGTCCTGGAACCAGTTTCCTGTGGATACAGAGGGATGACTGTATAAGGAACTAAGAAAAAATAGCAAGGAAACAACCCAATTTAAAAAATAGTCAAAAAGATTTCTCACAGGACATAAAAATGTCAAATAGGTATTTGAGAAAATTCTCAGTGTTACTAATTTTCAGGGAAGTACAAACAAAACCACAATGAGATAACATTTCACACTTGCTAGGAAGGCTATTTGTTCAAAAAAGACAAAAGATGATGAGTGTTAAGGATTATGAAAAAAAAGGAAACCCTGAAACACTGTGGATAAAAATGTAAATTAGTATAATCATTATGGAAAACAGTAAGGAGGTTCTTGAAAAAATTAAAAGTCAAATTATATAATCCAGTAATCCCACTGAATATCCATCCATATATACAAAGGAAATGATCAATACATCAAAGATATATCCTCACTCCCATATATCCTGCAGCATTATTCACAGCCAAAATACGGAATCAACCTAAGTGTCCATCAATGGATGAAAAGATAAAGACGACGTGGTGTATATAT